TTCGGAAAACATACCAGAACCATCCCGATACCTATAAAATTTTAACTTCAGCAATTATCAGTAATTCAGTAATTGAATATTGTAATATTCGACAATTAATAATGTGTTGTTTTTTTTTTAAACACAAGTCATGGCAACGTCGTGAAGTTCAATATGTGAAGAATTCTGAATTTCAAGGATTTATTTATTTAATTTATTTATTTATTTATTCATTCATTCATTTATTTAATTATTTATTTATTTTATTTTATTTATTTTTTATTACTACTACTACTACTATTACTACTTTTCCATTCACCCCTGAAGAGAAATTATCAAATTCATGGGAAATTGTTGATATAAAATACAGTTCTTGCTATAACGGACTATATTCCTGTGAAACAAAAATGTGACGAATGCAATAAACTGGAACTCGAAATCTCGCATGTGTTTAATGAGTAAAGTATGAAGCATAGAACAGAATCAATAGAGATAATATTTTATTTACAGTCATCAAAGACACAATTGCCAGACTTGCCACCACTACGATCATCTACTCAACGCATTGGCTATTCACGACTTTTATAATGTCTGGGAAAAACAACAGGTTTTCTGGAATTTTATAACGCGCAATGAAATTGCGATTCGCAGTAATTGGTAGAAACGTCAATGGCTTTCCGTGAGTATATTGTCCCAATCGATGGACAATTCGTGCCTTTCCTTAACGATTGCTAATTGTTTAATATGGAAAAAAGACAAACCAGTCATTGAGAAGGAATATCGAATTACATGAAAGCAAAAATCAAAATAAATTTAATTATTTGAAAAATTAAAGACCAAACTAAGAGATAAACATGCGTGAAAATTTCAATAGACGCGCGGGTGGATAGAAACATCTGGTGCTTGTAAAAGTGATAACTCCAAGCAACAAATCAAAAGGGGTAAATAAATTTGATATAATTTAAAACGAAATAATTAATCACACGTCCATTTCACAATATCGAAACTGTGTTCTTTTATTAGTTTATGCCTTATTATCCCAAAAAAAATAGGTCCCGAAAGTATTAAAATCAATGTTTAATTTAAAGAAAAACTTGATAGTCACTTCTTTACAAAAGGGGATAATTATAACAAAAAATCTTCAGAAGACTTCAACAGAGAGGATTTTTAATGTTTAAATAAAGGGGAAAATCAAAAGAATAACCGACTAACTCTATTCTGAATAAACGATTTGCAACAATGGAGAACATTTATAAAGAAAGATGGATATAACAGATAGTCTTTAGTATGCTCGTTAAACTATTAAACGTATATTATATGTGAAAAATCAAATTAGATGGACAGATAAATTTCAAATGGTATTTCTGAATGTGAAAGAAAATGTCTGAAATAAGCTTTATAAATACATGTAAAATAACCGTCCGTTCAGAATTTAAGAAAACACTCCGATGAATGAAACTTCAGTGAGGCAGGATCTTTTTGTTTGTTATTCCAATAGTGTTCAGGTCAAAATGTTATCTACATTCGTTGACACTTTAATTGATAATGTCTACATCATGTTTTTATGGACAATGCTTCATCCCTAACGCCCGGTTTGTTAAATGAAGAAGAAACTTGACCGTAGGGTATCACCTTGTCTGACACCCGATGTGGGAACTTTATCGGCATAATATTTATATAACGAAATACTTGTGGCAAAACCTCAATAATGTCATCATCAAGATTAATCTAATAAATTTTGACATCTTAACTATTAAAAAATAATAGAATGACCGCAAGAGCAAATGGGATTCACTAGCTTAACTTGCTTTAAATTTTCTGAATATTTTTCTCATAAACAATAACAACATGTCATCAGCACCTGAAAAAAATCTATCAAAACGATGTTTGAAAAAAAGATCGGTAAATAAAGTGTATCCAAGAAACTTTATATCTCAAATCAAATGAAGTAAATTTCGATTTAGATATGAAAAAAAATATATATATTTAGAAAATAAGTGTGACAACTAGCCGGTATGAAGAACATTTTTTTTTCTTTTCATATATTTATTTATTTACTTATTTTTTATGTCTAGAAATAAAGGCAATAAAAGGAAGACTCCATAAAGATCTATATTTATCTCCAAGTCTGTATCACATATATGTATGGAATGTGTCTTTTCAAAATTATTTCTACAAAGAAAACAAGCACAAGTCTAGCACAAGTCTTATTTTAACCTCAACAATTCTTTAATCAAAATTCTTAATTGAAATCTGTTTATTTAGTTATATATTCGTTATGAACAGTCATCTTACGATCAATAGCCCAGGGTGGCATGTCACTTTTCCATGTTTACATATGTAAAGTGAATTTTTCTACTATAAAGATACAGATCTGACATGATTTTATTATTGTATAATAATTGACAATTTGACTTCAGCCGTTAAATCGAGATATAGATATCAGATAGCCATACAATTATTAAATCATTGTTATAAGAATAACTGAAAGCTCCCATTTTTTGAGAGAAAAAAAAACCGAAGATATGTAGTATTTCACTCATATAGCATTTTTTGTTTATAAATACGTGTAAGAAAATACGCACGGAACAGAGAAATTTCAACCATTTTAATGAATGAAAAAATGACAAATTATATAATGTAGCATATTTCATCTGTTGCGAAATTGTTGTTTCAATTTTGTAAAAAGATGAATGGGTTTGGGAAAAAAAGAAGAGAAAAAAAGGAGAAAAAAATGTTGATGTCTTTTTATTATATTTTTATTATAGAGTATTTAGTAAAACTGTATAACATTACAATAATGAATAATCACACGGTCCAATGGACCTGTAAGTCAGGACATTTGTTTAAACAAAGTAAAAATTAAAGGTTTAAGTCCGATTGAAAGTGTAATTTGAAAAGATTTCTTAGTCTATGGATCATTATTTGTTGTGGGGTTTGGATGCTCTTTGTGGCACTGATCTTTGTCCAGACAATTTCAGTAAGTTTTTATTCTTTTTATATTAAACCGAGAATTCTTTGTGAGTAATTAAATATTGGGAAAAAATATCCCTCAGAAGCAAAAAAAGCAAAATTATTACAATCGCCCCCAAACAACTTGACGGTATGAAGACTGTTTTTTTATTAATTTTACCCCTCACGACAAAAACCCAAAAAATGGTTTTTGACCACATGGGTCCCAAACCCCGCGCATCCGCCAGTTGATTAGGGTCCCTGCTGTTTTCTATTAGTTTCTCACTTGTTTTAAAAGAACGCATGGATCCTGATAGACTGCGCGGGTGCGCAGGGTGGTTGGATCATTGGTGCAAACCCCTTTGTTGTTTTTCATGGCAAAGGTCATTTGTTAGTCCCTTTTTTTCAAGCAATTTAGAAAACTAGGACAAAGGCATCTGCATAGAGCCAGAACCAGCCGCTAGGTGACTGACCGTCAATACAGATATACATGTATAGGACTGAGTGGAACAAACTTTCACAAAGCCCAAATAAACAGACATAATATCGAATCATCTTAAATCAAAGTAGAAATGGGATATTAAGAGCTTAGACATATTTTGATTAACATAAGAAATAGTGTCAGTTTTAGCATGCATCAGACCTAAAAAAGACAGCTACTTTTTGCCGGAAAAGCTTCTTGTTTATTCCAGCCTTGGTAACGGTACACAAAAAGCAAGACCAAAGCATATTTGTTACGTGTAGGTCCTTTGTAAAAATAACTGTTTTTGATTGAAGATTTTTACCGTTTGCAGTTAGATTATTGGATAGAAAAGTGACAAAATTACATGAGATAAACCTTTAAGTTCAAACATTTCTCTCTCTTTTTCAATAGATATTTTTGTTTGAATAGTTAGTGGGTCGGACGAATGGATCACCCAAAAAACACAAGAGATTTGCAGATTGAAAATCACTGATTAATGAAATCATTCTTAATACATTGAAATCTTTGATTTTATATTTCTATTATTATCGATGAATGTACTAAAATCAGATTTTCTCATTAATATAAACAAAAACAGCTGTATAAAAGAACTGGACTCTTTTCGAAAGGAAGAAGAAAGAAGGTCCAATAAAATCACTTATTAAAGCGGCCCGCCTATATATGTATAAAATAAATCTATAAAAAGACAGAACTAAGAAAATGTAATAAATGTTTCAGAAATGTAAGAAACATTCAAAATCCATGAGAAAAATTGAAAATTTAATGAAAGAATAAGACATCTTTTACTATTTTTCTCCCCAAAGTTCTGCCTCGGTACTAATGGAGTAAAAAAAAACATTCTTGCATATTTTGGTTATTTAAGTCATGGGTAGTTTATATTGTTTTAACAACATTTTTTTAAAATAAAGATTAACACAAATCTGGAGGCGAGATGCTTAATCAATGAGAAATTGAAAACGTAAATTCATGCGTTTCGTATAATATATAATTATATATTAATAATTTAATTCAATCAATTGTGTATCTTTTCTTCACCCTAAGATGATTTATATTCATTTTTATCGACCATAATGATAATATAATTAAACACCCACAAACAAAAATAAATGAATAGAAAAATATTTCATATTTTGGAATGAGATATGTTAAATTTCTGCTACAATTAATATGTGAAAATAAAATCATTTTATAATTTAATCAATTTATTCATCAGGTTTTGCTTAAATATGATACACTAAAAACATAGTAGATATTCCGAAAGAAAGTTGTTAACAACTTCTTAATTTGTACATCATAAACTGTCAAGTTACAAAAAAAAGGAATACCACTTTAACGTTAAGATCAGTGATAAAACACTTTTATAAAACCGCCCATGATTATAACAGATAAAGAAGAGTCTTTATATCTTGTCGCTAAATTCCCATCCCCCTTTTACTGTCAATGAAGTAAATTACCTGACAAGAAGCTGCGTTCAACCAATCAGCGCGCGTTTTACATGGGTAGCTGATATAAGGTGTCACCCGTAAAAACTACTGAATCGTGAAAATGGCACTTTAACTTCGTTTTAAACGTTACTTTCACTTCTGCCTATATTCCGATTGGCCAATTAGCCTAGGTATATTTACGGGTGGTTTGACAGTAGTTTATTTAACTTTACTGTTACCGCATACAACTGTTGAAAGGTGATTTAAAGTTGGATTTAAGTGTTTATTAAACGTCCGAAATAGAGTAATGCAAATATGAATAAAGTGGCTGGACAATCAAGTAAGTGTTTTAAAGGCTTTTTAACACGTTGAATTCTAAAAACATATTACAAGTTTTTCATTACGTTTTTTGAACTATTTTTATTTTACCATTTAAATTATATTATATTTATATTGTGATAAATATAGTTACAGAAAATTAAATATAAAAAGGTAAACACAATGTATGAATATCATATGGAACATTCTCAGTGCCCGCTGTCTTATACTTAGAATGTTATGTCTGTATTTAAACCTGTGATTATTTTATTAACATATTAAAACTTAATCAAAGATGACATGGGCATTCTTGATTTTTTATCATTTCTTCTAAATATATACTTAGAAAGCTTACTGATGCAATTTAATAAAATACTAATGTTCTAAACATAAAGTTTATACTGAAAAAAAAAACATTTACTCGATTAATATCCTGTCTTTAAAACAAAATCCATGATTAATAGCAAATTTCATAGCGGAACTTATTTAATAATATAGCATTAATATAAACAAACAAACCCCAATAACAGGCAATATATTAACTTGTTTAACAAGTTCAAATCAAATCATAAAAAACAACAAGGAAATAAATTTGTGCCTTTACTGTTTACCAAATGTTATTCTACTAAAGGCACAATAAGAATCAGAAATTATTTTTTGCTTGTTTCTGTTGAAGGGACAAACATGTCTTTGATAATGTTGCAATATTTAGTTCAGTGAGTAATCAGTGAGCTGCATATCAGCTGACGAAAATAGCGCTGAATGTGAAACAATTTGTGAAAAATATAGCAAAATGTAAACAAAGCAGTATTTTGACTTCCATTCAAAATACTATATCTTTAATACTTAACTATATCTCATTGCTAACATGCAAATGATGGCTCAACGTTTAAAAAAGAGGAAATAAAAGCATGCTCAAACTTACTGGACCTTTGATCCCATATAATACGAAACAAAATAAGCAATGAAGGATTGTAGAAAACGGTACAAAAACGTTAAAACGGCAAAAAAATCACCGTCGATTTTTATATCAAAGAAGTACGTTTTATGTAATTGTTTAATTTGAAAGCAAACGCGCCATGTTGAATATGAAACATGAAAAAATACTGGGGTTACTTTTTGTTATTTCCTATGCATTACCAACATGATCTCGGTCAATTGTTTGCTGCTTTTTAATTTAATTATACAAATGTATTTATTAGTAGTATTTACCTGCAGATGTACAGATGAATCAATCGAAAATTTAAATGTTTTATAACATGATTCATGAAATATAAAATATATATTTACACGGGCAGAAATAGATAAAAAAAGAAACGTTTTGCGTTTTGTTAAAATGAAGAAGAATTATATCTGCTATAACTTTGGATGTGAATCCATTCATTCTTAGCTAAGTGATACAGGTTAAAGCACACAAAAAAACAGAATGGCCCATCTTTTCATAGTGTTTTATAATTATTATTATTGTTATATCATAAGCTCTTGGAACCGAAATTTGGTACGTTAAGAGTTTGGATAGAAACATTTTTTTAGGAATTGCGTCACCGCCATACTTGTGTGCTTGAATTTATAGCATTTTGTTTGAAATGCTTATTTTGTAAGTGTATACTAACACGTTCAACATTGATTTTAAGCTTTGTTTTACACTTTTGAGTATCCTTTAACCATATAAAATATCAATTCAAAACCAATTGAGAATTTATTTTTGTAAATATATATAAATATACACATCTTATGATGCAATTTCATTAATTATCAAAAGTACGCCTTTTCGTTCATAACTGCGGATACATTTATTTCTTCGTTTATTAATTAACTAAACTGTTTATAAAATGCACTATATATGTGCAAAGAAGTTCTTGTTCCTGTAGTACCCTCTGAGGAAAATAGTAAAATATTGCCTTAATTGATGAAATATCTTATTTCAATACGTTTTAATTTAAGGAATGATTATGGAATATTATAAGAAAGCTAAAACATTATTCTATAACAGGTTTAACTGGGGATGTATATATAAAGTGTTCAGGCTTACAAATGTTTCAACATATATATGTATATCAGATTATTGTCAAAATTTCTGACAGTTATCCCTACGTACTTTTTATTACTAGTGTTATAAAAGGTCAACATTCTGGTATTGACCATATCTGAATAAGTACGTGAAACGTCAGCTCTATATTTGCCATTATTCTACTAAATAAGCGTAATGGATTTGCCCAGATTCGAATTTGGAACAGTCCATTTAAAGTTTAAGGGATTTCCATATTAAAATACAAACATTGAGATACCAACAGTAAAGAAGCTTTAGGTTAGACTGTAAGGATGTGCAGGCTGGTCTGGCTCTATACTGGCTAAAGACTTCCGGTTCCAGCGAATTCAAGTTCAAGAACTCTTTTTTTAGAAGAATGAGAATGACGTGTACTACTTAAAGATATACTATGCTCAAATTTGATATTTGAAAATATTGATAATTGCTACACAGTCTCTTTGTAAGTATACAATGAACATGTTTTGACTTCACACATAGCAGATATGTTATGTTTAAAACTCTACACACTATAGGTGGTCACATTATGTATATATAGTGCTATTAGAAAATTGGCATTTTTTTTTAAGAAATACCAACTTAACTTGTCCTTTGATAGGGAACTCAGCTTCCCATACATATCTTTATTCGTTTTTTTTATTCAGAATAGACATATTCAGTAAGAAATTCATAGATTTCAATAAATTTCAAATTTCTGTTATTAAATTATTTTACCGAGGGATGAGCATAGTATATCTTTATAAATGTTTGTTTTATATACAATGTAATACGTTCTGAAGATGTTTTATAAATCAAATACCTCATATATAAAACTCATTAGTATGCATTATATCATTACATCCCAACATATTGTATAAATGCCAATGTTGGAATCATTAAGTCCAGCACTTTTAAGTGTTGAGAATTGAGAACCGCTCAAGCCGGTGCTGGGGGCGTTAGGGGTGTAGAACTTTTTCATTATCTCTCATATACATATCCAATCAAACCGAGTCTGCAGTTTTTATGAATGTTTGCTGTTTTTTAATGCTTCTTAGGGATCACTATTTTTCCAGATATTTATAAAGATATACATATAGAGTATAGATATAAGAAAATGATGATATTTTTACATCATATTCAAAACAGAAAGGTGAATTCTAGTCAGTCTTAAGTAGGTCCTGGATAATAGAGACATCTTTGTATAAATGGTTAGCTTAGTTAAAGTTTTGACTCTATATGATATAACTACACGTATATAACTATGCAGAATGACGGAATTTAAACATTTATCATATCTTCGAGTTATTTCTTTTTACAAACATAGAAACATGTAATTATTTTGATTCATATGTACGTATTCAAAAAATTCAAAAGTGGAAGTATAAATTTCATACATAAATTCAAAGTCTAATTTATGTTCAAAATTCTTATGTGCTCGGTTTAAATAGTGACACAAATTTATAAATATTTGTGGCCCTATGGACAGGTATAAGCGAGCAGATTGAAGTCAATCTAGGTGATAAAAAGTTTATTAAATGGGCATTACCCCGATAAGCCCTGGACGACGTTATAAATGATGCTAAATCCTATAATAAAATGACATATCAGAGTATCGCGTTCACAACCAGGGTGTTGTATTTTATATAAATGTTTATTAACAAATCATATCAAGAAAACAAAAATCATTATTCAGCATTTTTATAAGGATTTTTATTCTTTTTTATCACATAAATCATGGCACAGGAGTGTAATAATCCTATTTAATAAAAGTGCTATTACACTAGGGTAAAAGCATCTTGACGTGACGTCATTTGCGTTTAATGCAAACGTAGCGTTAAGGCGCGAACATCATGTTAGCGTTACACTGTAGGCGTGTCAACGTAAAATGACTCTTTAAATCGTTCTCATTTTAGATATGAGACAAAAAAGAATATTATATTCGCGTATTCTCAATACTAATTTATTGAATTCGATGCAAATGTATGCTGCGTTATATGATTTTGTTCAACTCGTTCAATAAATTAACTTCACATCTACACTCTTTCAATATCCTCTGTCAATGATGGAAATATTGACTAAGACGTTTCAAAATCTATAATTTTCACATATGAGTAAAGGTAATAATGATAATAATCCCGTATCTTAAGGAAGTTTTGAAATATGTTTTATTCCGTTATGAATTCTGCTCAGAATCTGGCAATTGCTTTTGGTGTAAAATGTATGGTGATTGTTTAATCAAGACCAGATTTACAGATAAATGATGTCAGTTTGATATGTTTATCGAAAATATTGTGAAAATATTTGTTTGTTGAAACTAGCTCTAATAAACTGTTGTTTCGTCGCGCATCGTTAACATGTATATGTAATGCGATTATGGTTTTTAAAACGCTTAATGATTTGAATATTTTTTTTATGTACAGCTTGATTGGGGAAAATTCTTAGATATTTGATCCTTTTTTTAGTTTTATTCGGAACGAGAACGCTTTTATACTTTACTTTTTGGCCCGTTTACTCTTTTCAGTAATTATTAGGCCTTGTTCATCAGTTACTTTCACTTGATAATTTAGCTTTAGCTATTCAAATTGCGATAGACAAAACTAAATAAACCTTACCAAAGAAATCACATTCTTTAAATCTTTAAATACGATTCCTATTTTAAACATGCAAATAGCATGTGACTATTCAAGTATTATGTCAATTTGCTTTTCGTAATGAAGAAAATGTAGTAACCCCGTTGAAACACCATGTTCTTTTATCATACTATACACTTGCGCGAGAGAAAAAAGAACGCTCGTTTTACTAGATTTACAATGATCAAATAAAAGTATTCTTTTTTTCAATACAATGAAAAATGAGAAAAGATATCCAAATCTGTGCACCTATCCCGGGTTTAAACAAATGACTCCGGTACCAGGAAATTGTATTCAGTAATTAAGTACGTGAATTATGGTTGAAATCTCTCCAGTGTCTTTCTTTAGAAAGGTTTTACAACTGTTTAAATTATCAAACAAGCTTTACTTTGACTTATTGACGAATATTAATCTTGCACGTCGTTGTCGTCTACTGTGTAAGTATTTGATTAAGACGGCAAAAAAAGAAAACGAAGTCGGAATCTTAGTAACAATAAAGAACATCTAGAATAAATAACAAAGTGAATCCCTGTCGCTACCGGTGATTATTAAATGTTTTAGCTTTGCGTTGACTTTATTAAAACGGACTAGAGTTGATTTGGTACTGTCTGAAGATCAGAACGTGAGCTTAGAAGGATTTTGAACAAATGCGGTCCATAATTTATGAAAATATTTGTCTATTCGTTTAGTCATTTGTCATACTTTACTGCTGATTTTAAATTCTGCGCTTGAGACGCAGGTAAAAGATATTATTATTGTGGGAATGCATAAAAAATTAGTTTTATAGTTTTAAGAAAATTGGAAAATATTTTGATAAATGAGTAAGTAAAATCTGTCATTTTGATTTCTGACTGCGTTATTAAAATCCATCTGCTTTATAATGAGTAGCGACTGTTTGATTCGGAAATTATTTTGATTAAAAAAAACAGTTGAATATTTTTTATACACACTCTCTTTTTCTATATCAGTGCGCTGACAATTACCCCGTGTTGATAAATTGGTCTTATTTAAGCGCACTTCAAGTGGCTTCAGGAAATATTTTAATTAAAATCAACCAAAAGTTGATAATAGAAAATAATAAAACATGTTTAACAAGATTGTTGTGTTTTTAATAAGATATTTGTTAAATAATAAAAAATATAAGAAGCACTTGGGGATTTTTAAAAAAAAAATTAGTATTGTTCATAGTAGCCTATTTTGCGTCGTATAGATTAATATGCAAATGTTTTTTTCTTATCTAAAGTGTCTGAAAAATGATATGGGAAACAATAGATGGATACATCAAAGTCCCGCCAGTCTAAAGTCAGTTGCAAATTTCCGTCAAAACAATTATATATATTTACATTAAGGCTGGGGACATCATAAGGCACTTCAAAGACAAAAAATGTAGCTTAATTGGCAAAAACACAAGCCGGTTATTACGTATAAAGGACGGTATCCGAATAGAGAAAAATAAATCGCTTGCTGTTTTGAGATAAAAGTCTCTACAATGTATACCCACATAGGTGCAATTATTGCAGTATTTATTTTCTCCATCAATTGTCGACGGTCGTTCACTTTCAACGAGGTTTGGCTTTTAAAGTGTATCCGGAAGGGTTACTGTTTACACAGGACGGCAGTTAGACTTACGGAAGATGGCGTTCGTTTTCACACGAGTCTTTTCATTATAAAACATATCTATTATTTTAAGAAGACATTTTTTACACAGTCTTTCAGTCTCACGCATAGGAAATTAAAACCCGTCTGTTTCTAATGCATTCACCTGCCATTAATTGGACATCCTCAGATATGGTTCGGTTTAATTAAACATCATTGGTTATTGCCGGTTTCCCTAACGGATGCTATTTCTTCGATAAATCAGCTAAAAGACCTGAGAAAATGTCAGCAATTTATTGCGCAAGAACTTCGGACGTAAACGCTGGAATTGCCTACTTGCCAATAAGTGACTCGGCACCACTGGTGATCGGTTTTCGATAGGTTGCGTTAACTGGTTATAAATTTGCACGGGACAGGTGCTTTGATAGTAAAATGGTAGCACGTTACATCCGGGCTATTTAGATAAGGCAATAACTTAGGTAGCATGATAGAAAGTCCTTGATTATCTTAAAGAGTTAGCGGAAATTATTGCAATTTATTTAGCAACCAATTTCTGTTCTCATTAATAATTAATACGAAAAATCGAAATTTATGCCGAAACAATAAAAGAACATTATAATAAAGTTAAATGTTCAGTTATTGAAGACGGTTTATATTCATACGACACGCAACATCGGAACTTTGTGAAACTTGGAGGCTACCAATAAAACGAATCTTTGCATTTACTTTTAAAGCTATCGTTATTTTATAAAGGCTACATCATTTAATATTCTACACGAATATTTTGATTTTAATATCAAGCTTTAATCATTAATGTATTTTGGCAGAAATAGATTACCATCTGAGTCAACATCTATAAATTCGTTCGAAAACATCCACTTGTAAAGTGTGGCAGCACTTGGCAATCCCATCAAGGATCTAACTAAAGACCTGTGGGTGGAGTGAACGCTGCATTTCCAAATAAACCACCGCCTTAATTTAATACTATCTAGGGTTATGTAATCATGCGGTCTATAATCAGTCATTTAAAGAGCGAAACGTAAAGAAGTGATAGACTTAAATAGAAAATTAGCAGGGCTATAGCATTAAATGTATCTTCAATTTTGTCATACTTAACTTCATCAATAGATAGTTATAAAATGTGAGATAATACCAAAGATGCCTCATGTCACTTAAAGGGGCTCGATATAACCCCTAGGTGGAAGGAATCTTTTCTTAATACACTTAATCATTACTTCTTAACCATCGCTGTAGGTGGGCTACGAATACCAAAATCTTTAACGATACATAAAAGACACTTATAAAAGTCATATTTACACTGAATTTATAAGCGACGGTTAATTAATGATACCCTAGGACCAGCGATTATTTGATGTTACATTATGGTTGAATAATGCGGTCTTGTTAAAATATCATTTTTGACGGATCAACACCGGGATGGCTGGCTAATTGAAAGTTGATTGTCGCTAAATGCCGGACTGCTAATGCGGTACGGAATGTGATACCGGGAGAAAGATCACGTCAAAGATTTTGTCAGTGTCCCTTGTCTCATTGCGCAATGACACGGCATGATAACCACCCCCGGGCAAACATTTTTAACTTGCAATATTTCTTGATTATCTTCTTTAAAAAGGATGGTCAATATTTCTGTCATTTTTAAAAGAAAATTTGCACGGTGAATTACTTTCTTAATTGCATTGTATTAGTCACTCATATGTTTCACCAGCCCACATATATAGTAAATATTTGCAGAAAAATGCACGGGAAACCGTGTATTATTTTCACCAACAATTAAATCATTTAGTCTTGATTAGGCTCTATGTTTGGCTAGATAAATTAAATACTGAATTCAAGTCAAGTGAAACATAGCAGTTTTTTGCAAGTTTGTCAAACAAGGTACGCGCCATGTTTGCATGTGGTTTATTTATTTTTTTCTTCACAATTTCCTCGTCAAATATAGTAATTATTTGACATGCGATACATCAAAGTGTGTGCCCACTAAATCTCTTAATATAACAAGAAACTAGAACGAATGTCATTACGTAAGATGGTTATCATTATTAAATACAAATATTACATAAAATAGGCTAAGTATCATAATATTTGAAATCATGCTGGAATAAAAATGTAATGCAATTTTTCATACATCAATTAAACGTAAAACTGACATCGGAAGTGTAAAACAAATATATTCTAAAAATCACTATAAGTGGCGAGTACACTGATTTCAAATGCATTTGAATTGAAAGTTGAGTGAGAAGTTGCCTCTGTATGGTAGAGCATTCATAAATAATATACATGTAATATTTTACGATTTTTGTGCGTTTTGCTGTTTGTGTGTTTCTGTTTACTTTCATCATTCATTTAACACCTTTTTAAACGATTATCATCTATCTGATACATGTAGTTGTTTAATTCTAAGGATATTTACTATTCAATGACATTAAGCTGCAAATGCACATATGATGCGTGGTAAAACTATCTTTTTTTAAAAGGAAATATAGTCCGTATCTGAAAGCGTATGTATGTAAACGAAAGTCGTATGATCAAATATCAGTATAATCTTTGCAGAAAGTGAGTACAAAAATAGGTTACTCTACCTTAGTGGGAACACTTTTACTATAAATCAAGAGGTCGCGGATTAGGTCCTCGCCTCTCAAACTAATAGGAAATATTGACCGAGTTCCAACAAAATGCAAATGGTGGTTTACACTTTACACATGATTTCAAGAACCTTAGTTGTTTCTCGAAGTATTACTGAGCATTTTCTGTGTCTAAAACAAACAAACAGCTATTTATTGCGGGTGCAGAGTTGTCTGCTCCTACTATGACTGTGGAAGCTATATGGTTATTATTTTGTTTTATTTCAGGTCGTATTTTGATGGACATACCGTGCAAAGTATGTCAGGATCATTCGTCAGGGAAACATTATGGGATCTACGCTTGTGATGGGTAAGTCGGACCCTTCTAAAATAATTATCTATAAAATATGAAATACCTGTCGGTGGAACATAAATTTGTAACAAAACATAAAGCTGTTTATATACAAACATCGCCTTTTATGACGAGAATGAAAGTTGTTAAGGATAAAGAATGATATACTTATTTCAGAACTAATGTCTCCATCAAAACTAATTATGTTATTTTGTTTTTATTTATGATTGTCTGATTGTTTACTATTATTATTATTATTATTATTATTATTATCGTCGTCGTCATCGTCATTATTATTATTATTATTATTATTATTATTATTATTATTATTATTATTATTATTATTATTATTATAATGTTTCCATTTTAATTTTATGTCTTTCTTTCAATTTCAGATGTGCTGGATTTTTTAAGGTGAGCTTTTTATCAATTAATAGTTTAAGTAATGCCGTGGAATAAAATATGTATAAGAAACAAAACTTATTATTTGTATTTTTTTTGGGCATCTTGTCGAAGTATTTTTTTTTAATAGTCCTTAGTAACCTTTACTAGCTGCATTTTGTGTAATGGAATCACCCTTCTTTGAAATTCCATAGCAAATAGAATTTTCTTACTTATTTTAGCGATCAATAAGAAGAAATCGACAATACATTTGCAAGTCACGTGGCCAGACTAGCTGTCCCGTTGATAAGACGCACCGGAACCAGTGCCGCGCGTGCAGACTCAAAAAATGTATGGAAGCAGGAATGAATAAGGATGGTAAGTTGTCCCCCCTTTTTTGCTATTATTTTACGTAAAATGTAAAATAAACATTATTTTTAGAGAAACGAACTTGAATTTTTACTTGAATATTATCAGCTAAAATGCATTTATGGGATGATTGCAATTTTGATGAATACGTATAACTTGTGAAATTGTTTGCAAAAGGTATTGTTATTTACAAAGTGCCGTAGTTGGTTAATGTATGAGAAGAGTTATCCCCCGCTAATGTGTTGTTAAAGCTACGGATCTTAAATTAAATATTTAGCCCGGCATTTTTTTTGTACTCTCTTTTTCAATTAAAAATACTTAACGGTCTGAAATACTTTTATATTTCTGCCTGAATCAGAAAGTTGGAAAAATAAAACAACTCAAGACGAGAGAAGGTATATACGTTAATACAAATTGTAGAGTGTAATACAATATTACCTCATTGAGGTGAATTTGTGGGCGTGTAACTTTAAAGAGTCAAAACTGCGTTTGATTCTTTCACGACACTAGAGTCAAGAGCCTTAATCGAACGATGTTTAAATACGAAACAATAACCACCAGGACTTTAACGCCAAAGCGGTTTTTGTGAGATGGAAAAATATATGTTTACTCGAACTGAACTACCCTTTGTTGATATAAAGAATTTTCTAATGTCTCAATTACTGACTTTGAAAACTACCCGAATCCTCGGAGGGAACATTCTAAAATAATCAAAAGCTAAATTCGACTTGTATTTTTGATAGGTTCATGACAAAAGAATACAGAGGTCATTCGCTATTTTTGCGCGATGTTCTTAGATTGAAAGTCTTTGTGAATCGCCGTCAATTTTTTACCTTACGGAATTGAGAGTTTACCGAGCGAACTTCGTCGGTTTTGTGTATACATTTCAATGTAAATTAATTTTCTTTCTGTTTAAAAATGATATACGTCGAATGTGTCATTATTCTTTTCAAATAAATCATATTTTCATAGTCTCGACTTTTAATTTGAGTATATATTATCAGTAAACGCGGATCAAAAGATTAAGCCACGGGAAAAAGAGATAGTTAAATGCGTTGAATAGACCCTATAACCGATCGTTTTTCGCCATAAAAGGCTAACTATCAAACTCATTTGCTCATCAATAGTTACACAAAAATCACAAAGTCATATAATTTGTCATACCCACAATGCCCTATTGTCAATGGTAACTTAAGACTGTCGTAGCTAACTCAATAAATAACCAATCTCTTTAAGAGTGAATGGAAAAACTTTCAATTTTCCAGTTTTTTGTTGATAGTAATGAAAAGTTAAGATGTCTTGATAATTGACTCCTATTTTAGCAAGATAAAAATCACTAGCATTTTATTATATGTATATAATAAATCAGGCATTAATAAATGCACACATTTCATTACATTTTTTTTTATATCGAATGATTTCAAATTTCATCGGAAATCAAAATGTTCAGTTTTATTTGTAAGAATATGATTTCTATGTTTTATACTATGTTCTTTACCATTAACGCACTGAGTATGTTATGGATTTTCCCTACTGTCAATTTGGAACACTCCATTTGAAAATTTGAAACCATTATTTATTGTTGCATTTTTTTCGTTAATTCTTTGAAAAATAGATATACTGAAATCATCGTAAAATGTCGAATAGGCCTTTTTATATTATAACACCGTTAAGTCCTTAAAACAAATGAATTGTAAACGTTTTAATAAAGACTTATCCCCGCACATATACATAGCACTACATAAAAGAAACTGAAAAGATTAATTAAATATACATGTTTATAAAACCGTTCCCATTAAAGTCGACATACTTGACATATGTGCAGTCTTAGGATAATTACGGTAACTGTGAACTAAACTGCAACAATAGATTTGCATGCTCATGATTTAACAGATAACAACCCCGTGTATCGAAAATATTGAAATTTTTAATAAATTTCTGACAAGGTGATAAAATCTGATATCTTTGGCACACGTGTCTTACAGAATTATCGTTTGTTTCACTGTCATTTATCTAAAAAAACAAATTACTGTCAAGTCAAACGGTTATGTAACTATAGTAAGAAAGGACATTCGTGAATGTATGTCTATTTTTCGTGATGTACGAACGTCTTATAATTATTTACGATCTAATGAAAAAATAAAAATATAGGCCTACTTGTGAGAATTTTTTTTAAAACGTTTATGGCGAAATAAAACGGATTCGGATTTTTGTGTTAAGATTTCATGTTTTTTTTATAACTTTAGAGTTTTATAGTAGGTCATTTATTTATTTAAATAAGAACTTTAGTAAAAAGGAACCTAAATAGTATATTTAAATGTTATCATATTAACATCATATATTTACCCAGAATGCTTTATTCGCGTCTAGCAATCACGTGACCCGAAGTTAAATACACGAGGATATGGTGATTGTTATAATATACTTGTAATAATAAAGGATGTTAAAGCGGTTACAAATTGAGTGTATAAGACTTATTTTTGTACTCTCCAAAGAAAAATGAAACAGTTTAAATCATACATTCACTTACTTTTCTTTTTTCTTCTTCTATTTATAGCCGTGCAGCACGAGAGAGGGCCTCGGAATTCCACGATCAGACGGCAAGTGGCCATGTACCTGAAAGAAACCAGCGAGCTTAATTCCCTGTATGGTACCACCCCTTTCCCGTCCCCATACATGCCCGGCTTCTACACATTTGAACGTCTGAACGATGGTATAACAGTCAGTGCAGTTGACCCTCCCTCTTCTCCCCTGACACCTATAGCCAGCCCCCTGACGCCGACACCAACATCCCCAGGTCTTATCTGTCAACCAACTCCTAAGGTATATATATATATACACATATTATTTTCAAAAATAAATAATGATAAATAAATAGAATAATTACATCTTAAGAATCCAATCTCTTGCTTTCTAAGATTTTCTATAAAATATTAATAATAATTGATCAGTTATACATTCTACTGCATTTTGGCGGAATAAATATGTCATGTACACTGTAGAGTATCGAACCTAACTTATAAAACCTTAAATTGTTCAGGGTTTTTTCAAACGATTTTATCTTTTCTATTATGTTAGTATGTAATATCAATGTTATTCGTTGATAGCTTCAGAAATAGTACAATTCATTTTTTTCTATCCATACAGTACCCGCACGAGCTAATCCAGTCATACTTCAGCAATCCAGAGGCCGTGTGCGAAGCCGCTGCAAGACTCTTGTTCATGAGTATAAAATGGACAAAGAACGTACCCGCGTTTCTAGGTTTACCTTATCGAGACCAAGTGACCTTGCTGGAGGAATCGTGGAGGGAGCTTTTTGTGCTGGGGGCCGCACAGTTTCAGATGCCCATAGATGCTCCTACCTTACTCGCAGCTGCTGGTAAGTAAGAAAGACACTTGCATGTATATAAATGCGAATCTATTTATAGAACAATTTTAATTATTTGGTGAAATATTTATAAATCTTGATTTGTTTAAATTGAAAGGTTGAAAGAAACATTATTCGTCATTATGTGTAAGAACGTGTTACCTATCGGCGTATGCGTGAAGTTGTTACTTGAATGGGTAGAAAACATATACATGTGTATGTAAAATATGTGTAGGATTATTAAATCATAATATGTACAGTATATGTAAAATTCGCTTAAGAATGAATAAAAATTGGAGATATAATTAGAAACATTATTTGTTACAGGTCTAAGCAGCGAGAACTCGCAAACAAGCGAGAAAGTCATGAACCTGATGACGGAGATTCGAGCCCTACAAGAGATTATTGCCAAATTTAAAACCATACAAGTTGATGCCACAGAATATGCCTGTCTAAAAGGAATCGTGCTTTTTAAAACTGGTAAGCCCATAATATACATTTAAAAAATCTTTACCTTTATTTTAAAGCTTTCTATTTCAGATTCTGATAATCGCATTGGCCGAACTGTGCTAGCGAGTGTGTACACGTTTTCTAAGTAAATTCTGTGTTTTAATGAAGTGTTTCATTCCAAATGTAAAATAAGCGACTGGAATAGTTGATTTGGCAGGAGAGAAATAACGAAAATTCTATATGAAAATAAAACACTATATACATATTTCAAACATTATTTTCTTTATAGTTCTTCCTGGAAATACAACAAATGATGTACAGACACTTCGTGATTTCCACACGGTGGCATCCTTGCAAGACCAGGCACAGATGACGCTGAGCAAATACATACAAACATCATACCCCACCCAGCCGTTTAGATTCGGAAAACTTCTGTTATTATTACCAACGCTAAAGACAGTAAGCGGATCCACAATTGAAGAGCTGTTTTTCCGGAAAACTATCGGAAGTATACCGATTGAGAGGCTACTTATAGACATGTTCAAATCAAATGATTTTTGACCCATTTAGCCAGCACAAAGTGTTTAAGTTATTGTTATAGATTAGACGAGTGTAACAGATATATGGCATAATATGTATTTCCCTTATAAAGGGAGATTGTTTTGTTCCAATTTGGTGCAGTTCCTCATCAGTTCTTAAAGAAGCTTTAAGCGTAGATAAGCAATTGTGAAATTGTTGCCAGGTGATTTTTTTCTTCTTTTTTTCTTTTTCTGTATTTTAATCAAATCCTTATGTTATTACTTAAAGGTAACACCTGTCCAACATGTTGATTTCCCTTATCAAGAACTGATTTGCGTACCTTAACATACTCCTTAAGATTATTTCATTTGCATAATAATTTATCACGTGACTGCATAATAACGTTATATTATAGATTTTTAAATTCTAGGTGGCATAATAATGTTATTTCATACCGAATAATAAACATGTTTTTAAACATTGGAAAATTATTACCCTTAAATTAATCATTGACATAATCATTCGGAAACCTTTTGTTTTGTTTGTTTGTTTCTTCACTTATATTTTCAAAATGTGATTGCATAAAATTAAGTTTGATTTGTAGCATCTTGAATGTCCGCGGCTTTACAGTCCTTTACGTGAAAACTTCTTAACAAGTCGTATGTCTAAAATTACTACATCTAAAGTCAGCGCTTAAGTGAAAATAGCAAGAAATAGAATAAATTTACTTCGATAATAGGTGATATGTGTTATAGATAAATTTTCCATACTAAAATAACACATATAATATCAAAATGTGATGTTTAGCCTAATATCTAAATGGTAGAACTTTACATTCTTCCGGTGTTAAAGTGTGTACCAAATTACTGCAATTTGAAGATAATTACAACAAAATCACAAAGTCATACTGCCCTTTTATACAAAGCAATAAAGCATATTTATCTTTAAAGCTTAACAAGCTTTAAGTTTTTAACTACAAGTCTCAAAACCAGTGTTTCCCATTGCCGAATAAATCTAGGTATCAAATTCATTTAAACTTAACTTTAGCAACGGTTAGTGAAATATATGATTAAGTTACCATTAAAACTGTAAAAAAAATTAGTTTCCAATGAATATAGTAAATATTCGGTTAATGACGTTGTTGCACATCAACATGACTTTATTTATTTTTTTAATTTCTTATGCGTAATGCAAAACGAAATTAGTTCGTCTTTTACAGCTTCGTTGTTTTAAATAATTGATTCGCGAAAAGATCACTAAAACGAAAGGAAAAACAAAAAACGTGACATGCACATGGGTTTTTTCTCACGATGCCCCCCAATCACCTGGTCAATTCTTTCTTCTTTAAGTTGATCAGCCAACGAAAAGTAGTTCCCCAATCCATAATGGTGATAATAAGGCGGAAATTGGCCACTATCTTTGCGGCTAATCTTACCTTCATATAGTGAAGACTTCCAAAGATCGTGAAAAACGAAAATTTGACGTGACACGTTTAATGGTGATTTAATTGAATTTCGCCTTTATTAGAAAATTGATGGGCAATTGTCTGATATTAATTCAGCACGCACAAATTGACGGAGTAGCTAAATGAGCTATTTGTTGAATAATTAACAAGTGTACGTTATTCTGTGTACTTTGTATTTTATCAAAGCTATGATCAAAGCTCTTTTAAACGAAAGACAATCGATTTTCTTGGGACATGTGTCGGCTTAAAAATCAAATTCATCATTAATTATGAATAGATTCTATTTAATGGGGATAAACGTTTTGTTATTTTATCCTATTTTCCGTCGTTTATGTTACCATTTAGATTATATCAGTTTTATTTTCAATGTGGCCACCTCTATTGTAACGATTTGATACTTGACTATAGATTGAATTTATTATTCTTTTTAATGTTAAAGATTAACTAGAATAAGTGTCTTAATTAATTTAAGCATTCTGTAACTGGGCCGGGCCTTGATTCAAGAATTTATATCTTTTTTAAATCAACCTTTACCATTTGCTACGCAATTTTATTTTAAAAAATGGTTTTTCGTTCAGTATATATAGTATGCAAAAATAGAGATATGTATGACCGACCGAAATATCTTTTTTTATTGGAAACACTATCAGATGATGGACGCTTTTGATCCTTCTATTGAGTAACATACATAGGCGACACATCACTTCTATACGATTTAATATAACCATCATAAAAATCATATCAATGATTTAATGAAATTGTTAATTTTTGTTCAACAAAATGCATTATGGCATACATCGTTTTTGTTTGTTATTTTTTTACATTTTTTTAATTATGTAAAAAGAGAGTTTACTATTGTCAACACAGTATATTATTAAAAGTATTATTATTACTATTAACGGCTGTTGTCTTGTTTTTTATACGTCCTTATTCTTTTATACGTCCTTACCATGTCTGATTTACCCGATCGATATAAATACCCATCACTATACAATGCAAGTATTACGATTGTGTCATTCGCGCGGTACACCGCTTTATGCTGCTTCCATTTAAACAATAATAAAAGAAATTAACTGATCTCATTTTGTCGTAGCACAGTTATGCACTTGTTCAGTTTTCATTCGACTATATGTGTTTGTATAAATACCACAAAAAAAGATAAAAAAATACTTAAAAGCATGCTGTAAGCTGCCTATATACGAATAAAAGCACACTCATTTTACCTTTTTAATTATAACGCAGACATAATGTTTAACAAGTAAATTAAATAATTAATAAGCTAATAAAAAAAACTGTTCATTATTTGTTCTTCGAAACAAATCTCATCAGATTATCCCCAGGAGTTACTGTTAAAACGTTAAATACTTGTGACGTCATACAAGAGGGTCAAGTTAGGTGAAACTAATTTATTTCTGATTAAAACTATGAAATACGTTTTATGGCATTTTGCAAAGTTCAGTCGGTTTGTAACATGACTACAACAATAGCGCATTTTTTAAAGCTAAAATAGGCACGATTTAAATTAATTTCGAACATGTTGCAGCATTTTACGACCGAAGCGTTTACACGTTTAAAAAATACACTAGAAGTGATTTGTGTACACTGCCATCGACTTCTTCTGTCAAAAGGACTTGAATTTTTGCGGTCTTACAACTTGAAATAAACATAAGTTTTCTTAAGCATACATTAAGTTGGTCCTTCATATTCTTAAAGAAAGCTATTCAAAACATGTCTATGTTGAAATATCGGAAACTAATCGCATTGGAACATGTGTGTCTTTTATAAAGTCACGGCGGGTAAATATTGTTCTAAGTACTTGTACCGGATTTTTGTGTCAACTTGAGAAAAAGGTTTATTTGCGAACAAAATTTAAATGGGATATAAAAGCCATTTTCGCGTTAAAAATGGATTATAAACTAAATAGAAGCTACTGAATGTCCATGGCAGGCTACCAGTATCAATTTACCTGTGAACCTAGCCTTGACTTTGGGGATTAAAATTGTGTTTTCTTATCAAATAAGGAAGATTGCATTTTGCTATTTGGAGAAGGTCTAGACCGCAGAACACTAAAGAGAACCGCCCGATTTTTTAAAAACTTACTATGGTAAAGAAGATAATTAATTTGCTATGTAGAAATTGGAGAAGATTAGAGATTGTATGCGAAACACCTGCAATGGCAAAGTCGTGTAACGATTATTTATTAAGTGAATGAGTTTATCAATATCAGTAAAATTAAAGTTAAACAACGCAGTTAATTATGACCTTAGAAACTAAAAATCCTATTATCCATTGAGTACATAGTACAGAAATGTCCCAGTAAATGTTCCATGTAATAAAATAGATATTTCGTAACTAAAACTTATTCTAGGTCCCTATAGAAATTCAATGCATGTGCAGTGGACTCTGTACAAATAGTTACCTCCAAATAGCGACGCACCATAAGAAACGTGTCATCTAAGGTCCACATCGAAAGTAACAAGCTGAAACATTAATATAAATATTGCTCCCTTTCAGAGACCAACTGAAAGAAGTGACCAGTTTCATTTTTTAAATGGTCGTTATAGACAGGTTTGATTATAGTAAGTGTAACACAACTTTATCAATCCTTACTTATTTTGCAAAATAGTAGCATAACAATCTTCTGTGTCCTAGTGTTTTGGGAAACGAAAGAAAATCCCGAAAAGATAAGAAGCGAAACGTAGGTAAACAGAATAACCGATAACAATTACAGCTTCTAAAGAATTCATGACACCTTTAAACATTTCGGCATACTTGTTAGACTGTAAAATGTAATCATCTTTTTATCTCCTTTATGACTGTCATCATTTTCCTTTCGTTTTTATCCATTTATTCACGATATTGTATATTCTTACAGTTTGTCTTATATACATCGGTCAAAATATTGTTTTTCCATCTTAACCTGAACAGTATTTGTCATTTAAATCAATCAATCAATCAATCAATCAATCAGTCAATAATGCAATCAATCAATTATATGATAATATATATCTATTGTAACAATTTGTAAATTGTTTTAAAAAAAGAAAGCAAATTAATGAGAAATTTATGGTTTGTTATTGTAATTATGTAAAATGAAATATAAACTGAATTTAAACGTTAGATTGGCATCTTTTAATGATAATGTACATGTATATGGATACTTGAGCGGGGATAACTTTTTATAATATCAATCGAACGACACAACTAAGGTTCAAATCAAACGATAATTTTTTGGCAAATGAAAAATACTGTTAAAAAGGTATAAACGAGGAGAACATGTGATCTACCAGCAATACTTTCTCATACTTGCCGTCATTGACTTCCAACATCTGTGTTCAAGAATGAATGACATGAGCCCACCTTACAGCGTCCAGATTCCCACAAAATAGAATACGTTTATCGAGCATGTCAACTATACAACCCTATCCTACCCCGGGATGATTCTACCCGGGGTGTCTTTGTCCGGGAAGAAACTTTACTAATCTAGACAGCCAATTAAGATTGGACAGTCAAATTATCGTCAAGGGAGACTATTGTATTCTTGTTGACTGACTCGTTAATTCACCCGCTGGTGAAATTTTGTGGCAGTGGTCGTATGTCTGCTATGTCTGCACAAATGAATCATTTTTTGTTTTCGTCATTAACTGTCCAGGAGTAGCCGTTTCAAAAATTATCTGATTAAAGTGGTAATTGCGTATTATCATTAGATTTAAATTTTATTTCACTTTTTTTTTGTGAGTAAAAATTGCTGAAACATGCCAGGCCCTTCATACATTCACTATGTTTAGAACTGGGACAATTTTATACTGTCCTGTTAGAGATAATGTGCCTTATTCACTTTATTGTGACTACTTCATCTTCGCTTTACTAACTTTTCCATACTATAATAATGACTTCGTGGAAAACAATTTGGGATATTTAAGATAATTACATGATTAGCTTGAACTTGAAAACTAGGAAGAGGCATGAAGACTAGTCTGGGATTTTCCTAACCAAACTTGAAAGTTCCTTAATTAATGTCATTACATTGATTGTTTGTCAATCTTCTTGACGAATTTCAAAACTCGTGTTAAATAATTTGTCCCACGTTTTATCAATATCCGTCCCAGAATCCCCTGTTCAATTTCTCGTCACGTAACGAGAAACTCGTTTTACCCGAGGATAAGAAAACAACCGGTGTTGCGTTACATCTATTTACTTTGCAACGCACTCCTAACATTACATCGCTCGTATATAATGTACCGGAGATGATAATAAAGATGGCCAAAATACTGACAACTGAAATTATTTCGACTTCAAATGATTTTGATCATTTTGATAAGGGGTAAAGTCTATGTAAGTTAACACTCGCAGCATGCACCCATCATCCCGTCGCCTTCTCTACAGTAATTTGTAACCCGCTTGTTAACTTCACAAAATGAAGTGTATAACTTTGGAAAACGAAGTCTATACGAAAGTATAATATATCACTTAAAACCGTTTTCCTTCAAAAGTTGACTGAAAAGTCAAGGGCTTTGAGATAAATAAGAGAGAAAAAAAGTTACATAAAATAATATAAAAGGATGGAATGAGTAAGACGCTCCCAATGTAATGTGCGACAAATGTGTAGTTAGCGACAATTTTTTATTCTACAAATATTTTTGGTTACTGGTAAGTTTTACAGCAACAGTTTTCCCAACAACCATAAGAAAGTGTCACAAGTAATTCAACTTTTGCAAAATCACATTAGATCTATTTGAACTGAAGTAAACTAAAATATGCTTTCGATAACGAAATGCTAAAGGGAATAAAACTCTATATAATGTTTTAAAGCTAATGAAAGTCAAATCCATGATAGGTACAGTGAACTGTCGTCTGCGGCTAATATTTATCTGACCACTGCTCATCCTTAAATTGAAACTTTGCGTAACAGACGACAAGATATAAAGTATTTATTTCCTCGTCCATACATTCCTACTTATATTAATTAAATTTATGGCAACAGAAGTAAATTAAAATTAAAATAATATCCGTTAACAGAATCTGATTTTCATCATCTGAACAAAATTGAACGCGCGAAACCCTTTTGAAATATCAGTGTCGTCTTTTTTTTTTTAAGTTCTTGAGGGAGTACATATTAATTTAAACTGTTTTGTTTTGATTTCAAAATAATATTACATAATTTTAAAGAAAAGAAAATTATATTTTTAACTTTAATGATCAGACTTTTATTACATTTCATTTTCCTATATGAAATTGATTCTTTATACATGTACTGACCACAGTCAAATTGAAGGAATAATAATTGAATAAAAATTGAGATATTTATGTTTAGTCTTAACTAAAAAGCTTCCAACTGAAATTAGAATTATTTTGATAATAGAACTGTATTTTTCAATATTCATCGGTAATTTGTGAATTTGTAAATTGGAAAAACGACACTGATAGAAATGTATTAAATACGCTTGAATCCTATCCGTAGCTTAAAGTATTATGTTTAAACATATTTTAATTAAAGTATAAAATAGAATAATTAGGCGCCAATCAAAAGTTAATTAAGTTGATATTAATCAAAATATAATATTTAGGTTGTAACCTGATGCGACACGTACTTTGATATCCGAACTAGGTATTTATAGTGTCTGTGGTGTTAAATATAATTTAGTGGTACGCAACCGCCGATTGAGAATTGAAATACATTGTCTATTGAAAAGCCCGGAATATTAGGCTTAATAATTACGGTATTACATGACATATTTCCTAAATACAAATATTTGCCTAGTTGCAAACAAGACTAACTTAAATAGATAATTGTAATAATGAATACAAGAATCGTTTGTTTATATAGGAAGGAATCAATTTGTGAATTGACAGGTAAATAAACGGGATACATCCCTGAAATGGCTCAGTGTCATCCCCC